GATCGGGTTTCGGGTAACCCGTGAAATCCCTGGTGTATGATAAATGGATGGATGGAACCTTTTTAGCTTTTAGATAAGGATTTTATTTTAATCCATTTTTATTTTGCAGAAGCTAAACATGTAAAATATAAAAATTTATAAATTGTTTATCAGAAAGATTCCCTTATAACCTGTAACACCCAAAATCTTCTTATTTTCATGGTCAAAGGCTCTTATTATTGGGTGCTTCTTTAGTGCATAATTTACTTTAAAGTGTGTCTAAAAATATATTTATATTCTCAAGTGGAAAGTCCACCAACCAAAAAAAAAGAAAAAAAGGTCGCGACAACAATTCGAGTGATGAATCAATGGAAGGAAAGCGGAAATGCGGGGATTTGAAGAAAAAAGAGTGGGAGAAATCTGTCATTTTTGCAAGTCTTTTGCATACTAAATCGAAAAAGGGGATGGGGAAAGATTTTGAAAATTAAAAAAGTAAAGTTGCAGAAAATGTAAATTTAAAAAAGAGGAAAATGAAGAGAGGTTTTGTAGGAGAAATTAAAAAATAATTTAAATAAAATTATAGGAAGCGGGGAATATTAGCTAGTAAAAGTTATTATAGTCAGAAGAAGTTGTAAAATTGTAAAAGATAAATCGAGATTCTACGAAAAAAACTTCTGGTAATTCTTTTATCTTTTTTTTCTCCAAAATCATAAACGAATTCTAAAAAACTTCAGCTAATTAAAAAAAAATATTTCCGGGTCATTTACTTTTGAGAATAACTTAATAAATAGAACATTCTTCCAAATTATAATCATTCTTCAACTACTCCCTCCCTCCCTCCCCTCCCCCCTTCTGTATTTATTCTTTTAATAACATTCAGTATTCACAGGTCATCTAAAAACTTCCCCTTCCTTTCCCTGTAGTTGCTCATTCGTGCATTCAACCACTTCAAGTAGTTTTAATTCTTTCGTGTTTTTAATTGCTAAAGGAAAAGAGAAAATAATAAAATTAAATCTTTTTTTAAAATAAAAAAAGAAAGGAAATGGTCAAAGATTAAATAAAAATGATTAAAGTTTTAAAAAAATTGAAAAGTAATTTTTAGGATTGTTTGGAAATTGGTTTGCAGGGAGATAAGGGAGAAAAAGTTTTTATTTAAAAAAGTATTTTGATTTAATAATTTTTGATTTGAAAAATTTCTCTTTAAATTGTTTTCAATGTTAATTTGAATCTAAATAATTAAATTCAAAAATTTCTATCTACATATATAGATTAAATAAATCCCCCAAGAAAATATTTAAATAATAAAAATGATTTATTATTTGTTTATCTCGTCAGAAGACCTATTTAACTCTTCTAAAATGACAGAAAATTAATGTTTGTGTGTTTTGTTTTTCTTTTAAAAATTAAAAGATTAATAAAATATGCAAATTAAAAAAGAAAGAAATTTAAATCCAAAAAAAAATATTTTAAAATTTTTAAAAGAAAAATGAAGCCCCAAATAAAGAAGAGAATTGTGAGAAAATATTTAAATGAACAAATGAGAAAAAGAGAATAATTAGTCACAAGTTTTAATTTAAAAGAAAAACAATTAAAATATAAGCTGATGATGAATAAATAAATAAATTTTTCGTTTTGTTAAAAATAGGAAAAAAAATTTAAAAAGTATTTATATTTAGAAGTGACATCATTTAAATTTAAGAAAGAATTATGTTTGCCTTAAATAATTTAAAAATAAAAAAAATATTTAAAATTCTTAAAAAAAATTTTTTTCTATTATTTAAGAGCATTTCAAACAAAATTCTGTTCCAAAAGTTAAAAATTATTTCGACAAAAATTGTAATTGAAGATAAGAAAATTAACAGATGAATTTCACATTATTTTAAAAAATTACAGAAAAAGGGGGGGGGGTGAGGGGGGGGGAGGGCTAATTCTTTAATAAACTAACATTTTTTGGTAAATTAAAAAAGTTAAAGATAAGAGAATTAATTTCACATGCCTCGAAAGTCTCCCAATTAAATTTAAACATTCCACCATTTTAAATTCCTAAAAAAATATTTTCAATTACTCAAAGCTTAAAAAATCGTTTTTTTCTTTCAAACATTAATAAAAAACCCTCCACCAGTAACAAAAACTGTCGTGGTTTTTGACTGAATTGTTTTAAAACTTTAGTGCTACCCCGTGCTTTTGACCTATCAGTTATTTTGTCGCGGCCAAAAAGATGAATTACTTTACAAATAAATAAAGGTGTCAATTGTCAACACACCATTTTATTTTTTATTTCAAGAAAGAGAAAAAGGAAGTAAGGGAGGGAATTTATAAAAAAAACTTAGAAGACAAAAAAATATTACAAAATATAAAAATGATTTAGAATTTATTTTAAATTTTTTATTTTGAAATTTTTATTAGTCACCAACTTTGAGAATTTGGCATGTCCCAAAATGTTTTAAAAAAATATTTTTTCCTCAAGCTTAGAGTGGAAACAAGAAATTAAAGAAAAAATTTGGGAGAGAAATATAAAATGGTTAAAGAAATCTATGGCGATAAGAACCTCCTTAATTTCTTTAAAAAAGAAGCAAAATAAAAGGAAAATGGGGGAAGATAATCAGAAGTACCAATTTTTAATTGTATTTTTGTAGTAATATATTTGAAAAAATTTCCACTATGTACTTATAAATTAAACTTTTTGTATTTCAACTTAACATTTTCTCGATTAAGGCTTGAATACAGTATACACAATTGAGAGTGAATAAATTCGTCCTCAAATATCCAAATTTAAAAGCGTACAAGGACGTTTCAGTTCAGCATTTTGCGGGATTATCGATACATGACGAATAGGCGCGGCCGAATAGGCGCCGAGACAAATAGGCGCGGGACGAATAGGCGCCCGAAGTAATTCAGGCGACCAAACGGTTTTGCAAAAGTTTTTTTTGTAATTTTATTATTTTTTAAATTTTTTTGTCTTTTACAGAAAAGAATGTTTTGTAATCGTGAAATTGACACTAAAAATGGGAATAAAAAGTTAAATTATGAGGGTAGACTTTATATATTTGATAAACCAAATAGTGATGGAACGATTAAATTTTGGAGATGTGAATTTAAAAATGGAATTGAAAAATGCAAAGGCCGTATATGGACTACTTTGGAGGATGAATTTGTTCGTATGGTTACTCAGCACACCTGTGAACCTAATCCAGCTCGAATTGTTGCGCAGGAAGTGAAGACAGGAGTGAAAAGACGAGCTGTGGAAACTATGGAGCCACCGACAGTCATTCGTTCACACGTCTTAGAACACACAAATTCACCAGCTTTAGCTGAAGTTCCTTCCAAACAAGTTATTTTTTCTAGAAATTTTTTTCTGAGATTTTGTTCTGATTTCTTGTTCTGATTTTTTTATTCTTCTCCAACTTCTAAATTCCTCAAAATTTTCGCATGCGGCGCTAAGAGTAGAGTATTTAAATACCAATTTTCCATCAAGGAAAATCCGTCAAGGAAAATCCATCAAGGAAAATCCGCAGTCGCAACCCTCAGTCCTCCGCTATCTCCCCACTCACTCGACACCCGTCACTCGACATACAACTTACATGTATCACAAAATCAGAACAAAAATATCAGAACAGAAAATCAGACCAAAAAAATCAGAACAGAAAATCAGAACAAAACAGAAAATCAGAAAAAAAATCAGAACAAAAAATCAGAACAAAATCAGAATCAGAATAACAAAATCAAAATCAGAATAATCAGAAAAGTAAATCAGAAAAAAATTTTCTAGGAAAAAATAACTTGGGGCGCCTATTCGTCCCGCGCCTATTCGTCTCGCGCCTATTTGTCTCGGCGCCTATTCGGCCGCGCCTATTCGTCCGCGCCTATTCGGCCGCGCCTATTCGTCCTGCTCCGGGGATTATTCCCGCGGGAGTTACTCCCGCATGCTGGATCCCGCAAATGCAATTTTTCCAACCTATGATTTTTTCAATTAAATTTTACAGATTTATTTATTTAATTAAAAATGGGAAAAAATAAGAACAAGAATAAGCAAAATTCGGCAGGAGGAAACAGATTTGGTTCTGGGCCGTTTAATAAGAAATTTAAACAAGACAAGCCAATGAATAACAATCAAGGAATGAAAAAGGATAAAGGCGCTGTTAATGGCGGTAATAAAAGAGGAGGTTTTAATAAAAAGAAAGCTTTTGATGGGGGAGATAAATTTGAAGGGCGTCTGATGAATGAAAAGTTTGGAGGTATGTTTTTACGTTTTTAGTAAGAATTTTGTTTTTCTAAGTTTCAGTGAAGAAGGATGGTAAGAATGAGAATACTGAAGTTTCAAACTTTCAAAAGCAACGCCCTAAGGAAAATAAAATGAACAAAGATGGCTTTTCGGTTGTTGTTAATGTTTGTACATTATTTAAATATTCCATAATTTTTTAGCAACCTAACAAGGACTTTGGCCAAAAGACTACTCCAAATACGAGTGTTTCATCTATGGGGAAAGGTTTTGTTAAATCGTTCTACTTTACTTTATTTTTTAGAAAGTCCCAAAGAAGCATCTGGAAAAAAGAAGGTTAAATTCGAGACTGATTCTTCTGAAAGGAATGAGCATGTTAAAAATGATTTGGTTATTAAAGGAGATGCTCAGGCAAAGCGTTTTGGTATGTCTGTTTTTTTATTACTGTTTACCCGGTTACCATTCTGATGCTTTTATGTAGTTACTGACATTTTTATTTTGCCGGATTAATATAAAACATTTTTGCCGTTCTTTCAGGTAGTCCTCGTGAAACTCCTCCTTCAAAGCGAGTCAAACTCGAGACCTTAACCAACTCTTTCAGTAAAGACAATGAATTAAACGGCAATGCTAAAAAGGATACAAATGTCAAAAAAGATGGAAATGTCAAAAATGATATTGGAGGGAAAAAGGACACGAAATCAAAAAGTTTAGGTTTTTTAACGTTATTTTGAAACTTTTCATTTTAAATTAAGTCAAATCAAATGTTGTTTTCGACGAGAATGGCAGTATTAAGGACTCGGACATGGAAGATGAATCTGATTTGGAAGATCTTGAAGATGAAGATGATGGCGAGTTTTTGGGTCTTGAAGATTCTGAGGATGGTGAAGATGATTCTTTGATGGATGAGGAGGACGATTCTTCGATTTTTGATGAAGAGGAAGATGAAAAGAGTGATCCTGACACTTCGCGAGGTTTTTTACACTATTTTGGAATTGTTAAATTTTTCAAAAAAAAATTTTTTTTAACTTAAATATTTTTAATTAAGAATTGGTCGACTTAAACATTACTGGGTATAATATTTCTACAAACACTTCAAATTGTATTGTTCTCAATGCACAGAAGGATTATTCTACAGCTGCAAACCCATTTAAATTATTCAAATTCTCTGCGGATACTGAACATTCCGTTCAAGTTGGATTGAAAGTTTTGCAATGGATTCTGAGCCCAATTGTGACTGATACATTTTTCAAGTTTTTAAATTTTACCTCTAATTATCTTATATTTTATCATTTAAAGTGACATCTTGCAAAAACGAGTTCTTGTTTTGAAACGCGCTACAAATGCTTATTTTGATGGATTCTTTAATATTGGGGATTTTAAGGATATGCTTAAGAATGTGAGTTTATTTAAAAATGTCCTCCTTCACTTTTCATTTTAAGAATAATGTTCTCTATGGAAAGGATGTTAATGTTGCCAGTTATGTTTCTGGTGTTAGACAAACCCATAATCCATTAAAGAAAGAGATGCAACGCGCTACAATCACGAATGCTCTGCAACATTTTCAAAATGGACGATCACTTCAATGTGTTCATCCTCAAGTTTTTAATGACAAAATTTGGTATATCTGTGATGCTCTTCAAGAAGTTTTTTGTTCTTATGTTGGAGCTAACAAGTTTTTTAAATTCTTTTTTGTTTTTATTCATTTTTAAAGTTATTTAACTCCTGCTGGAACTGCTGGGTTTGCTCCGCATTATGACAATATTGATGCTTTTATTTTGCAAACTGAGGGCCGTAAACATTGGAAAATTTATGCACCGGAAAGTTTGGATGATACTTTGCCTCTTGAATCAAGTGATAATTTGAATGAATCTGATTTTATGGAACGTGAACCAGTTTTTGATGGATGGTTGGATCAAGGGGATGTTCTTTATGTGCCACGGGGATTTGCTCATCAGGTTCTTATTTTTGATCTCCAATTAATTTTTTTTGTTTTTAAAGGCCAATACTGGTCAAGACAAACTTTCTCATCATGTCACTATTAGTATTTGCCGTAAATTCTCTTATGCCCATTTCTTTGAACAAGCATCAAGCGAATTTATTTTATTAATGACGGAAAAATCAAAACGTTTGAGAGGCGCACTTCCTCCACATTTTTTTGATATGTGTGGTATGGCTGATATTGCATATCCTAATGAAGACTCATTGAACAATAAGTTTTTTTAAAACATTTTTAGCCTTTTAATTATTAAATATTTCAAGACTTATTCCATATGCCAAAATATTTTCTCAAAAATTCGCTTCTGACTTTTCAACTTATATTCCAGCATTTATCGATTTGATGGCTAAGGATTTCATGAAAACTGCACTTCCGCCATTTTTAAGCCATGAAGAGCTTAAACAAACATGTATCGGAGGAGGTGGTTGTGACAACTTTCTTGAAAAAGAGAAACATCCACTTATTGGACCAGAGACTGAAGTTCGTTTTGCACGAATGCATGGACAAAGGCAAATTCAATTAAATTTTGTTTTATCCTTATTTTAAATTTTTTAGATTAATTTATGAAGATGAAGGTACTGCCTGTATTGTGCATCGTATGAACAATTCTCGGCGTTATGATGAAAACAAGGAAGAGCTGACTTTTGATTTTTCTACTGAGGTTTTTTTAGTTTTTAAGATTTTGATGGTGTTAGTGTAGATTTGCCCTTCACTCTAGTTTTGGTTTTTTCTTCTCGCGTTTATAACCACTCATTCTTATAGAGGATGAAGGGATGAGTGAGTAAATTAGGGAGGGAAATTAGGGAATAAAATATATTTTTTTAAGTTGGAGAAAGGATACATAACTTTATGTAATTCTTATCCAAAATGGAAAACTGTTCAGTCTTTGGGTTGTGCTTCGCTAGAGAAAAATATTGAATTGGCAACTTTGCTTTTTAATAATTGCGTGCTTATGTTACGTCAAAAGGAGAAGAAATAAGGTTTTTGAAAAGAATATTATTTTGATTGTTAAAGTTTCTATTGGCCTCTTATTTTTTTGTTTTAGTTTAATTGGCTATTGTTAAATTTTTTTGAGTTTAATTAAATAAAAAAATTTTTGATTTTTGCCAAAAAGCCGCAGTGCAAGGGGTAAGTGGTTTAGGGGCACACTCCGATGTACCGCGAGCCCAATGTACCGCCAAGCTATAACATTGTTCAAAATTGTCGAATCCGTGGCGCCCTGATATGGTTCGATGCAGATCGACCAGCTTTATCGAACCATACCATGGCGCCACGGATTCGACAATTTTTAACAATGTTATAGCTCAGCGGTACAGTGGTCTCGCGTACACTGGCCTGCTCCCGTGGTGTGGGAGTGTCTGTGTGCAAATTAGAAAAATATTATCAATATTTTTAACAAATCAAAATTTTTATTTAAAAAATAATTCAATTACAAAAATAATTTAAGTCCGAAAAAATATTTGGGAGAGATCCATTTATAAGTGTGGCAATATTCAAAATGAACCCGCCTTAATAACTAAAGGCAGAAAAGATATTAAATTTTAATGAAAGAGAGGAATGTTTTGTCAAAAATAACAGAAAGTCTTGATTTAACATAAATAAAACATGTTGAAAGAAGAATAATTATACGACAAAGTTCAATTAAAGTTCAATTAATTAACTACGACAAAGTTCAATTAAATAAGAATGGATTCTTTTGATAATATTGACGATGAAATCGACGTAGAAACATAATCAGATGGAGAAGGATCGTCAGTAATCCTTAAGATCATTGGTCCCTAATAAAAAATTAGTAAAAAATGCTCCGGTATTTTTGAGGCTTGCCAGTAGGTAATCGAGTGTGCTGAATCCGGATCTCAACTTAGAATTTGTTTATTTCTAATCCCGGACCGCAAATTCGACCAAGTTGAATTTGCGGTAAAAATTCAAAATTAGATGTTTAGGGCTTTTCTTACTCAGCTCTATGTTTTGATAACTTTAAACGAAATTATGTTTGATTTGTACATATTTATATCTTTATCTTTTATTATAAGCGTTTATTTAATTGATCATAATTTCGTTTAAAGTTATCAAAACATAGTCGAAAAGCACCAGAATTTTATGAAAAAGCAATAGTAAGTTGTCTTATTAGTCATTTCATTAAAAATTTTAATTTTTACATAGGTTAATTTATTGTTTACGTCGAAATAAACTCGTGCCAGGAGATATTTCGGCAAATTATGTTTATGCTTTCAATAAATTTACTTAAAAATTTAAAAAATTTTTGATAAAATTTGAAATAGTTGATATCGGAAAATAGAATGACCCACTCTATGTATTTGAATGAACTCTCTAATTGAATGACAAATTTCTGAGGTATTGAAAAATAGAATGACTGTCATTCAATTAGAATAAATACGATAGTTGAAAATTAAAATTAAAAAAAAAATTTTTCAACATTTATAAAAATGAAAAAAAAACCTGCTTAACCTCTATGTTGGTGACAGGAAATTGGATTGCAAGCAAATTCCCACAAAAAATTCATTCCTGCATGCAGGATTTGGAACATTTTAAATTAAAAAATGAAATTTTTAAATTAAATCCACGGGACTCAATTGAGGTATATACAAGGGGGACTCAATCGTGCGGACTCAGTTGAACTGCTCCGAAGACAAATTAAACGGGGTGAGGGGCAAAACCAGGAATTCCAAAACACGGAACAGACAGAACACGGAACGACAAAACACGGTCTTACCAAGACACGGAACGACCAAAATACGGACCATACCAAAACGAGGAACAGACAAAACACGGTCTTAACAAAACAAGGAACGGTCAAAAGGCGGAACGACCAAAATACGGTCCAGAGAAATAATAATTCTTTATGATTTTAAAATATTTTAAATATTATTAAAAGATGATTATTCAAAATGATAAAAATTTTAATTCAAAATATTTTTAAAAATCAGAATTTTTCAATTTTTAAAATATTTCTGATTCTTAAAGAATTTTTATTTTAAAAAATTCAGATTTTGATTAATATTCTGATTTAAAAAAATTTGATTTTAAGAATTATCCTGATTTCAAAAAATTCTGATATTAAGAAATATTCTGATTTTAAGAATATTTTTGATTTAAAAACCAGTATTTAAAATATTTTTTTGATATTTAAAATATTTTAAAAATTGTCATTCACTTGAATTCTTGTTCTTTTCATTTCTTCTGGAATATTAATTTCTTGACGAGATGTTGGATTTATAATAATTTTTTATAGGCAAATTTGAATAGGCAAATTTGAAAAGGTATATTTTTCCTCTGGACCGTATTTTGGTCGTTCCGCCTTTTGGTCGTTCCGTGTTTTGGTAAGACCGTGTTTTGTCTGTTCCTCGTTTTGGTATGGTCCGTATTTTGGTCGTTCCGTGTTTTGGTAAGACCGTGTCTTGTCCGACCGTGTTTTGTCGTTCCGTGTCGTGTCCGTTCCGTGTTTTAGCCCGACACGAATTAAACGTTTTCCAATAAAATGTCAAATCCATAAAATGTCGAAAAGTTTAAAAACCCACAAAATGTCAAAAATGCTAAAAACCCACAAACCCATAAATTTGACCATTTTGAACCCTTGTATCTCGGCTTGGAGTCGCCGACCCATAGGTTTACGTTGTTTGTTATTTGTATCGTAACTTTGTACAAACTTGTTAGAACAAGTATTTATATTTGAACTTTTGACATTTTTGGTCCTATGATTTTTGACCATTTCGATCCCGATATCTCACCCCAAAGTTGCAAGCCCCAAATAATTTTGGTACCATTCAACTCAGCTCGTCGAGCTCTTTCGAATGACATATATTTTGTCCATTTTTGTTCCCGGTACGTATTGTAAAGTTTTTCCCAAAATTTATATAAAATTAATTTATTTTTGTATAATACATATGTAGGTACATTAGGTACATATTACGTAGCATTAATGTTGGGAACAAAGAAAAATTGAAAATTTTTGAAACTCCAACAAAAGAAAATTTTTGAAACTCCAACAAAAGAAAATTTTTGAAACTCCAACAAAAAGAAATTTTTATAATTTTAAATAAAAATTTATATTTTTTAAGTATTAAATTCAAAAAAGGCACATGAGAAAATTTTTAAAAAATGCACAAGAGAAATTAAAAATGTACAAATTCTTTTAAAAATTTCACCTTCTCTTCTTTTTAAATAAAATTTTGTATACATATATTCTTTGTTTTAATAATTTTATTTTTGTTGGCGACATGCTTTTGCCCGTAAATGTTTACTTAAATAACTTTTTAATTTAAATGCCTTTCCACAATGTACACAAACAAATGGCTTTTCTGCTAAAAAATTGAAAAAAAATAAATTTACTAAATTATTTTACGTCGATGAGTTTTTTCGTGTGCACGACAATTTGAACGATCAGCAAAAGAACGAGAACAGCCAGGCCATTCACATTTAAAAGGTTTTTCTCCATCTAAAAACAAATTACCGTAAATCCTCTAAAATAGACCCCGGGGCTTATTTTTTTCGATCGACCTCTAGAGGGGGCTTATTTTAGAGGGGGGGCTTATTTTGGAGGGGGGCTTATTTTTTTTTGATGTCTAAATTTTTGAAAAACTAAAATTTATTACCAAACATTTAGAAAAAATTTTCTAAAATTCAATAAAATTCATCCCTTTACTAAGTCTCTTCAAGAAAAACCTTGTCCAAAACTCATCAAGTACTCTGTCAATTGATCCTTCAGCTAAGATATGACTTTAAGTTGGAGATATCGGAGGATTAAGGTGAATATTGAGACTTTTAGAGGGAGCTGAGATCCAACAAAATCCCCGGATATCCGTTCAAACCATCTTAATCCAATGAACTCACGATTAATCATTGAAATACTGTTAATCACCGAAATTTCTTATTCTCTTAATCTCCAGAAGTCCCTTTTAATCCCCCCGATATGCTTCCTAATCTCCCCTAATCTTCACTATCCATATATATCCCATTAAACCTACAAATCCTCCGATATCGCTATTAATCACCTCAAATCCCTCGATATCTATGTACATTGATCCCTTTATATATCATTAATCTTCCAAATACCCTCTTAATCACTTCTAATCCATCTATATCCCTCCATGGAGACTCAACTGATGGGACACAACAATTAATCAACAATTAAAAATTTTATGGGGGAGGGGGCTTATTTTAGGAGGGGGGCTTATTTTAGAGAGGGGGGCTTATTTTTTTCGATCGACCTCTAGAGGGGGCTTATTTTAGAGGGGGGGCTTATTTTAGAGGGGGGGCTTATTTTGGAGGGGGGGCCTATTTTAGAGGATTTACGGTATTTTAAAATAAAATATTTATAAAACCATGGGATAAACTTTAGCCGGTGGCCGGTTTTTTTTTTCTATGGTTTTCAATTTTCGGGGATCTATATTTCTGTCTACAGGAATATACGCACCTAGAGAGTAGTATCGTTCGACTCAGCTCAGCTAGTCGAATCGAATGGGGTACATATCGAGAGGCTTTTGAACCGGCCACTGGCTAAAGTATGGCTAAACCATGAATTCTTTTATGTCCATTCAACAAACATGGTCTACCAAATGATTTACCACAAACCTAAAAATAAACATTTAAATATTTTATTTAAAATTTTTTTTATTTCTCCCAATTTAAATTTAAATAAAACAAACATTACACTGTACTTTTTGTATGTTATTGTTGTCGTTGTTGTTAATTAATATATTGTTTATTTTTCTTCTTTTTGGTGTTTCTTTTAATTCTTTATTTTCATTTTTTCTTTTACAAGATGATTTATTTAATAATTTCTTTTTTAAAATTAAAAATAAATTAATTTAATTTAAATTCTAATTTTTACCTTTTCATTAGTTACCTTTTCCACAATTTTTGATATTTTTGTTGTTGTAGGATAAATATTATTTGGATATTTAAATGAAGTTAAATTATTTGAAGAGTTATTTGTTCTCCAACTATCTTCACTATTAC